ATAATTTAAGTGTATAGTTGTACAGTAAGGCTTGAAAACACTACTCTAAGGTAATTTGAATTTGAAAGCTTGAGAAATTTTGAAGTGGAGAGAAAATTTTGAAGAAATTCTAATAACGGGAACAATGAATAACATCCTTAAACAGGCTATTAGGGCTTCTATGAAAATGGATACACGCCTTAACCATAACTGATAGCATCAAAGAAAATATTCACTATTCTTACCTGTTGAGCATCTAAAGAATCCTGGCTTCTTGCGTGTTTTGTGATTTTTTTTTTTTTTTTTTTTTACTTTGTTTTAGCAACTCTGGAAGGTAGGGAATATTTCTTTTTTTTTTTCTTTTAAAGGTTTATTTTATTTTTTGGTCATGCTGGACCTTCCTTGCTACAAGCAGAGGCTTCATTGTGGTACACAAGCTTCTCATTGCAGTGACTTCTCTCATTGCAGAGTACAGGCTCTAGGGCCCAGGGGCTCCAGTAGTTGTGGTACATAGGCCTAAGTTGCTCCGTGGCATGTGGGATCTTCCTGAACCAGGGATTGAACCTGTGTCCTTTGCATTGCAAGATAGACTGTTAATTACTGGACCACCAGGGAAGCCCTGGGAATATTTCTTATTCACATGGTAAACTGAAGCCCAGAGAGAATGACTTGCTGTCTGTAACTAGCAGAAATAGAACTAGACCCACATACACATTTGATTTTTTAACTTGAGCTCTTTTCACTATACTCTTAAAAGATACAGTGAGGCCTATTAAAATTTTTAATGGTTTAAGCATAAATCAATTCAAACTGGGTAACACCCAGCTGGAAGTAGTTAGAAATGCCCCACCAACAAGGAATTAGGGATAGAACTTAGAGATGTGGAAGCAAAGCAACGATATTTTTTGATTGGCTATAGCTTAAGAAGCTACCTTATTTGGGAAAACCTAGTTGATGATTGGTAATTTTAGGTTTTATTTCTTAACTTTAAAGCATTTATAGGCTTAGGGTTTGGTTACATAAGTCACTCATGCCCTAGAACCGCCTCTGTGTGATAGCCTCCTTGTTTAACAATACCATGCTGTATGAAAATTTGATAGTTTGACTTAGTTTAAATAGTTTATTTTTTCACTGTAATGTTTCTTCAGAGCCATTGATACCATCACCAACAAAAGTATTAAGTATTTAGTGTTGAAAATAGCAGAATATTTCTGACTTGGACAAGGTTTATAGGTTTGTTATAATGGTGGTGATATGATGGTGGCAGTAAAAGTTAAATGCAGTACTTTTAAAAATTCTTTAGAAATTTTACAAAACTCACATATGTTGCCTTAACTAGGAATCTAGCTGTCTGGTAGAAAACAGTATAGAATGATCTTTTTGTCTTACTATTAATCTGATCCATTTTATAGCGACATAGTAAAACTTTAATTGTGGCAAAGTTATCACCACAAAGTAAAGATTTCGGCTGTTTTTGTATGAGAAACCTCATTATAGGCCCTAACTAAAATTTTGTAACAAGAGGTTGGTCAGGTAGGAAACAAATCATTATATTTCAAAAGAAAATAAATTACCGGGGAAGTCTTTCAATAGTGAGGGGAGTACATTGTCTCAAAATATTAGGAAAATATATGAAATGTACAGAATTTAAATTGAGATAGCTTATAAATAATAGTCTTGGTAGTGCTCAAAATATATTTAAATTGCAAAAAATTACTTAACTGCAAAGCTGAAATTTATTTTAAGAATAATAAAAATCACTTATTTTTTAAATGAAAGGGAAATTGGAATATTCAAAAATCCTGTTACAAATAAGGTAAATTAGTTATAGAGCTAAATAAATTATATATTTCCACTTCCCATTTGGAGGATGCTATTTGAAATTTAGGAGAACTAGCAATAAGAAGTAATATGGAAATAGGTATGGATGCCAAAAGGGGAAGTGCAGTTTTGTGCATCATTTTCATATTTTTCTAAAGGTGTCTGTATATTTCCATTTAAATTATTTGGGCCAGTGTAATATAATCCTAATGGAATAGTGCCTAGAGTTAGATTATCAGTGCAAATAAGGCTTCTCTCTAATGCATATAGAAGAAAGGCCTACCAACTTGGTGTTGGTAATAGAAACAAATAAAAGCTTGCTATGTAGAAGTTATATAACTTGCTTCTTTGATTTTTCTTCAACTGGTATTTTTCCACAAATGTTTGAAGGTCAGTTTTTATATGTTTATGATGTTACTTTAAAAAGTAAAAACGCTAAAGGTGAAATTCAAGGAAGTTTCAAATTTTAACTTTTTTTAATCCTTTCATACTTTATACATTTAAATTCTGAGTAGCATATATTTCCTTGTATGTGAATGTATGTATTGCCAAAGATTCTTATGATTACTTTATAAGGCATTGAAAATTTACCACAATTTGTAGTTAATTTACTGTATTTATTCACCACGAAAAACATATTTTCCTATGAGCACTGCAAATTCTTAAATAAAATGCCAAACTAGCATCACAAATTAATGCTTTAAGCATTTGAAATTTTCCTTGAGAAGCTCACATCTGAGCTTGCGTAGTCATTAAAAAATAGGTTTCTTTAATGTTTTTCATTAATCAGTTCATGTTTTGTGGTGCAGAAAATGGGTTACAAGAGTGCTCGGATCCTTCAGTCCTTTGGGACAACCAAATGGGAACTCAAGTGACCAGAGGCCCCCAGGCTGCTGCTACTCTTAAGTCGCTTCAGGCGTGTCCGACTCTGTGCGACCCCATAGACGGCAGCCCACCAGGCTCCCCCGTCCCTGGGATTTTCCAGGCAAGAGTACTGAAGTGGGGTGCCATTGCCTCCTCCGGGCCCCCAGGCTAGTCATCTCCAATTATAAGCAGCAACTTCCTTTTACCCCAGTGCTCCAAACAGTTGTTACTGTTTTTGCTGTGTAATGATACAAAGAATTTAGGGAAACAGTGGTATAGAGGAATGCCATCATATAAGGTAATGGAATCTCCACTTAGAGTTTCCAGGGGATCATAAACTTGGAAACAGAAGATAAATCTAATAACCAAATTTGTATATAGCCTTATTTTTTTAATTATGGTAAAGTGTACATAAAATTAAGTATTTTAAGTGTTCAATTCAGTGACATTAAGTACATTCACGTTGTTGTCCAAGCTTCATCACCATCCATCACCAAAACTTTTTCATCTTCCCAACATGAAACATAGTTATTAAACAGTTCCTCCCTACCACCACCCATCAACCCCTGACAACCACCATCCCTGCTTTCTGTCTCTGAATCTGACTACTCAAAGTACCTCATAAAAGTGGAATCCTATAGTATATATACCTTTGTGGCTGCCTTATCTTAGGATAATAATGCTTTCAGTTTTCATCCCTGTTGTAGCATGTGTCATAATTTCCTTCCTCTGTATGTATATATACTGCATTTTGGTTAGCCATTCATCTGTTAGTAGACATTTAGGTTGCTTCCACCTTTTGGTTATTGTGAATAATAACACAAATAACTATCCCAGTCCCTGCTTTTAATTCTTTTGGGTTTGTACCTAGAAATGAAATTGCTGGATCATATAATTATATTTTTAATATTTAAAGGAACCACCATTCTGTTTTCCATAGTGGCGGTACCATTTTACATTTCCAACAGCAGTGCACAAGGATTCCATTTTCTCCACATCCGACTCAATCACTTGTTTTGGTTTTTTTTAATAATATTTTCTAATGAGTGGGAAGTGGTATCTTATTGTGGTTTTGATTTAATTTCTGTATTGATTAGTGATGTTAGAATCTTTTTATGAGCTCATTGGTAATATGGCCTTCTACTTTTAAAGATTTGGGGTGCAGGATTAGCTAACCAAGATTAAGCAAATCTTATTTAAGAATCTTAGAGATCATCAGAGTTCTTAATCTGAAATCATCAGTGTTTCAGAGAGTCCATGAGTAGTGTGAAGGAAAACAAATTCAGTCCGACTCTCAGTAGCTGTGCCCCTCAAATCAATCCAACCCAGAATCACCAGAATGTTTTTTTAAAGCCATTATGTTGGGAGGAGTTGGAATTAGGTAGATTTTTTTTTTTTTAATTTCTGTTTTGTGCTTTTATTTTTTAGTGTCTGAAAAAAAATTCATAGTGCACGTGATTCTGTGCTATTTTAGAACTTGAAAAGTAAAATTTATCTTTAGCTCTTGGACATACAACTAAAAAAAAAAAAGACTAAAAGCTAAGAAGTAAAATGGATGTAGTATGTTCCTATAATTGCCTGTCTTTTCAGAGTCACAGCATTCCCAAGTCACTACCAGAAGAATGGACAATGCTCTACAGCTACAAAAAAGTGATATTTACTATTGAATACATTTCAACTGAATTCATTGCAATAAAATCATTGCATTTGAGTTTTTTATAATAAGCTTTTTATTATAAAGAGAATGTGTAGGTAGAAAAGCAACATTTACCATTGAATTCATTTCAGCTGAATCTCATTAAGGGAAATATTTGCATTTAAGTTCTTTATAATGAGATTTTACTGAGTTTTCAGTAATATCTTTATATACTACTCTAATTACTTTTTAAAGGTATTGATTGGGGTTTTGTATTATTTAATTTTAGAACATTGATCACTTAATTTTAAAAGCAACGAAAAGGAGTTCTCATTAAATATTTTTGTTGAATAGATGATGGATACACACCTGGATTCACCTTAGCATCCTTAAAAGAAAAACTGTAGGAAATCTTTAAAATTTTGTAAAAAAACTTCCTAGGACAGCTTACCTATTCAAGTTGATTGTCAAGTCTTCATATCTTCTTCAGTCTTTTTGAATAAGTTTGAGTGTACTCCAGGAAGGGCTTGAACACCTCTACTGTTTAATACCCTTAGGCCTTCATTTTCTCTTCTGATGTTTGTTTGATCTCTATATCTGCTTAACTGGAATGTTTATACTATGAAATTGTATATTTATTTTATAGCTACATTTTAAAAATTTATACCAGTTTTTTAAACTCCTGTTTTTTCTTTTGCAGCTGTATGCAGGAGCTATTCTTGAAGTCTGTGGATGAAAATTGGGGAGGTTCCCTCAAGTCCAAGGTATGTAAAATTAACTCTAGTATAAATTTTAGTTAATAACTTAAGATCAACATTTCACAAAAATAATTTCATTAAGTATTTCAAAGAATAAGAAACTTTAAGGTTATACTTTCTAAAAAGTATATGAATTTTTTTCTCCATTTGTTTTCATGGGGAAGAGTTTTATAATAACGATTGAATACTAGGTTACTTTAAGCAAGCATAAAACATGAAATTTAGATTTAAATAAAGTACCTAATGAGATGATTACTTTCTTAAGAGACTTTACTGAGTACACATTTTATGAGAGCCTTTCTTTTATCAGGTGTAAATGTAATCTTTCTAAATAATATTTTCAGTATAACTGAATTATATAAAACTCATAAGAAACAATTGCATTAAGTGAAACTAGACTTGTACAAAATAAAAATAATCAAGAAGAGAATTAAATACCATAGAACTTGAGCTGTAGAAGAAAGGAAATCATATGAGTATATCTTCACAGGAATTAAAGATAAGTATGTGAAAGGATAATTGTGAAAGTGTATTCTTTTGGTTGACAGCTAATAGTAATGGCGATTTGTATCTCCAAAAAGACTTGAACCTTTTCTATTCCATCCTTGCATGTCACTTGAAAATCAGTTTTATAAAGGTAATGAAGTTTTTTTTTAACTGAAATGCATAAGTGCTGTATTTGTATACCTCATTCTGTTTTTGTTTCTGCTGCCTTTCCTGTGGTTTCTTGACTTGTTTACTCAATGGCAAGAGAATTTTTTGGGTTTAGTATTTTGTAAAATTGCCCATGTTAACACATGCCTTTTATTGCTGGCCTAGAATTACTTATAATAAAATATTGCTCCTTTTGGCACAGAAATGTAATCAAACAGTTTGACTTGGGGACATTTTATTTGAGACCCAGAGCAGATGCACATCTAATTAAATACATTCTTTATTAGAATAAGAACATATTCTGATATAACACAGAATATAACAGCTTCTACTTGGGGAGAAAATTCCTTGCTCTTAGGATTAATTTTGCCTCAAACACTTAAACTCAGAATTGTAACCAGAGTTGTTTTAGCTTTTTTTATATCAGTTATCTGAATGATGAAGTGATCATTCTTATTCCTAAAATGTCTTGACATTTGCTCTTCAATTATATTGATTATTCATATTTACTGACTTGTCTTATTAATAATCTTTTGTGACTCAGATTTTCATGAGGTCAAGAGTAGCTTGCAGTTAGCGCTTCTATTTGTGATATCAGGTTTTATCATGTCCATGATAATAATTTCTACAGCTGCTAGTTCAGTCTTTAAAAGACTGAGTGTAGTTTATTAATCTTTGGATTACAACTTAATTATATATATATTTCTTATGTATAGTTAAATTATCAAACTTGTGGGTATATGTGGTCATACTGTCTTTTCCTTTTGAAACATTAGGTTTTTAATTCTGTGTATAAATATCTAATTAGTACAAACCGATTTAAATTAAAATGATTGTATAATTCTATAATCCATAGCCATATTTAATAATTTTATCAATATTTTCTGAGCCCATGAGAAACTAGTACATTTTTTAAGTTTATTTAATTTAAATTAGCCATGTCATGAAACAGAAGGAAAAAATAATGTTAAATTATTCTAGAAGAGAGAAGGATTAAAAATTTGAAATGTCTTATCCACATTAATTAACTCAGGTTTTGTGAGGGGAAAAGAAGTCCCAAATCATATTAGCTAATTCCAGATATACCTCCTAAAATACTTTGGTTTTTCCATGTTATGGTTGTTTAAGTAGGAAAGTCTATATGTATAAAAACGTCTCATTGTATGTTGGATCTAGTGTTTTATCACTTACAGTGACATCAAAGCAATGATGTTAAGTATGTTTTCCTTCTTATGCATGAGTCTTACCATGATAAGGATGTGTCTGCAGTCTGTCTCTCTCCAAAATAAAAATGTAAATTTCCCCTGATTTTGTAGGTCTTAGCAGACATTTTCTCTAAAAGACCAGATAGTAATACTTTTCAACTTTAAAGCCAACAGTATCTCCATTGCAGCTTTTGAACTTTGCTTTTGTGGTACAGAAGCAGCCATGGAAAATATTTAAATGAATACATATGGCTGTGTTCCAGTAAAACCTTATTTATAAAAGCAGAGAGGCCAATGTGGCCTGTGGACTATAGTTTGCCAGCCTATGTATTAGAATCATAAATCTTTGGATACAGAAAGGAATTTTAAAATAATGTACAACTGAGATAGCAAATAGATTTTCACTTCTTGAGTGATGCCTAGGATTATGATGCTACCTCAGAGTTTTACTGGAAGGAATACTAATTGATTAGCACTAGCTTCATCAATTTACTCATTTATAAAATGGGTTAATAGGTGGTATAAAATCAGTTAATATCTACCTTATTGGACTGTTTTGAGAATTGAATAACAATAACTTTCTAGCATTTGACTCTTCCCTTCACTTGTGTGAACAGTTTTTTTTATTCTCCTTTTTTGGCATCTCATCTACCACCCACACTTCAAATAGTGGTGTCAGTCACAGTCTGTGTTCTTATTTTCTCTTTTTCTTACTTTCTTGAATGGTGTCCCACTCCCTCAGTTTCTACTGCAGTGTTCACCTGGTAACTCCCAATTTATGTCTTTAACTCAAACTGTTCTTTTGTTTATCACCACATTTCAGACTGAACTGACATTTCCACTTAAGTGGTCTCATAGTATCTTAAACCAACATACATATACGTCACCTGGGGGTCTTGTTAAAATGCAGAGTATAATTCTGTAAATTGGGTTTATATCCTGAGATTCTGCTTTTGTAACAGTTCTGTAGATTGTGGCCTACATTTTTAGTTGTTGTTCAGTTGCTCAGTTGTGTCCTACTCTTTGCACCCCAATGGACTGCACCATGCCAGGCTTCCCTGTCCTTCACCCTCTCCAGGAGCTTGCTCAAATTCATATCCGTCGAGTCAGTGATTCCATCCAACCATCTTGTCCTCTGTCATCCCTTCTCCTCCTGCCTTTAGTCTTGCCCAGCATCAGGGTCTTTTCTAAAGAATTGGCTCTTCACATCAGGTGGCCAAAGTATTGGCACTTCAGCATCAGCCCTTCTTACGTTCAGGATTGATTTCCTTTAGGATTGACTGGTTGGATCTCCTTGCAGTCCAAGGGACTCTCAAGAGTCTTCTCCAACACCAGAGTTCAGAAGCATCATTTCTTCAGCATTCAGCCTTCTTTATCATCCAACATCCATACATGATCACTGGAAAAACCATAGCTTTGACTAGACAGACTTTTGTCGGCAAAGTAACGTATCCGCTTTTTAACACACCATCTAGGTTTCTCATAGCTTTACTTCCAAGGAGCAAGCATCTTTTAATTCCATGACTGCAGTCACCATATGCAGTGATTTTGGAGCCCAAGAAAATAAAGTCTCTCACTGTTTCCACTGTTTCCCCATCTATTTGCTATGAAGTGATGAGACTGGATGCCATGTTCTTTGTTTTATGAATGTTGAATTTTAAGCCAGCCTGTTCACTCTTCTCTTTTACCTTCATCAAGAGGCTCTTTAGTTCCTCTTCGCTTTCTGCCAGAAGGGTGGTGTCATCTGCATAACTGAGGTTATTGATATTACTCCCAGCAATCTTGATTCCACTTTATGCTTCATCCAACCCAGCATTTCACATGATGTACAACTATTTGAATTTGTTCAAAACCCATATTTTGGAAGCCTCATTATCTTAGAGGCTGAAGTGGTCCAAAGGGGTTCCTGAGAAAAGGACTGCCTGATTGGTGGGTGCAGATAGTGAGCTGACAATAGAACTGCTTTGTACTTTATAATTAAGGTCTAGAATGATCGATTTCCTAGTAATTTTGAGTTTATTTTCTTTTGCTTCCATGTGGAGGAGACAGGAATCCTGACCTCATCAAGGAAAGATAGCTCCATTCAGTCCTGCCCACAGTTTGAAGGACACACACTTTAATTTCTCATTTCCACTTTCCCAGCCCCTGGTGGCCACTAATCTGCTTTCTATTTCAGTGGATTTTCTGACTCCAGATAAATGGAATCATAATATGACATCTTTTGTGACTGATTTCTTTCACTTAACGTGTTTTTAAGATTCATCATATTGTGTATTTCAGAACTTAATTCCTTTTTATGGCTAAATAATATTCCATTATACAGTTATACAGTTACCCTGGGGGCTTCCCTGGTGGCTCAGATGGTATAGAATCTGCCTGCAGTGGAGGAGAGCTGGGTTCAACTCCTAGATCCCCTGGAGAAGGAAATGGCAACCCACTCCAGTATTCTTGCCTGGAGAACTCCATGGACAGAGGAGCCTGGTGGGGTATAGTCTGTGGGGTCGCAAAGAGATGGACACAACTGAGGCGCGACTAACACTGTATACTCTGCGTGTAAGTTAAAAAGCAGGGTGACAATATACAGTCTTGACATACTCCTTTCCCAATTTGGAACCGTCTGTTGTTGCATGTCCAGTTCTGTTGCTTCTTGACCTACATGCAGGTTTTGCACGAGGCAGGTAAGGTGGTCTGGTATTCCCATCTCTAGAGGAATTTTCCACAATTTGTTTTAATCCACACAGTCAAAGGCTTTGTGTAGTCGATGAGCAGAAGTAGATGTTTTTCTAGAATTCCCTTTCTTTTCCTATAGTCCAGTGGATGTTAGCAATTTGATCTCTGGTTCCTCTGCCTTTTCTAAATCCAGCTTGTACATCTGAAAGTTCTCGGTTCACCTACTGTTGAAGCCTTGTTTGAAGAATTTTGAGCCTTACTTTACGAGCATGTGAAATGAGTGCAATTGTGTGGTAGTTTGAACAATCTTTGGCATTGTCCTTCTTTGGGATTGGAATGAAAACTGACCTTTTCCAGTCCTGTGGTCACTGCTGAGTTTTCCATATTTGCTGGCATATTGAGTACAGCACTTTCACAGAATCATCTTTTAGTATTTGAAATAGCTCAGCTGGAATTCCATCCCCTCCACTAGCTTTG